TTTCATTTTGCCAACTACTTCATTCTAATCACCTGCATCATATATTAATAAGCCATCATTATCATCAACCACAACTTACGTGAATGGCGAAACGGGGTGACCGTTACGTCAAGACCCCGTCTAGAGCGGTAGTGTCTGATACGTACACGACGAAACTGTTTGACTCTGTAACAATGTCATTGGTGCCGTCTCCAAGCATTTGAAGCCTAACGAAGTAATATTTATTTCTATTGTCGGTCACCTTTTATAATAACCATGATACTGATCTACGTAATTGTTCAACAATATTCAATAAATTAAAAAGCAAAATAATAAATTTAAGTAAGAAAATCAATGCAACAAATTTGAGATTGCTGTGGAAAGGGGGTTATGTCCAAAATAATTTTGAGAAAAACATGTATCCAAAATTAACTATCTTCTTTGCTTCCATCTCCAACTCGGTAAAATATCGACCCGCGTGAGCTAATATATTTTCCAACAAAACCCATGAGATATGGGTTTTATTTTATGTCAAAACATCTTGACATTTGCAGTTTTCAATGCATTTTTTATTTCCGACTTAAAACCCTTTCACACACATTGGAGGACATAGTTACGAACATATTATTGTTAATATTGTTTCATTCAATTATGTTTCTTCTATAATCATAATATCACATCATAAAATACATAAGCATTTTTCCAAACAATTTGAAGTCTAGCAATGGAACAAAACATAATATCACTTTTATTATTTCGAAGTCCTGTCGTTTTTACGGAAACAAAACAAGTAAATCGAATTATTCTCATCAAAATTGTGTTGGGTTTCTGTAGCGCAAATTTGATGTCAAAAACCTTTTTTTCCTCTTTCTTTTAAAACTGAAACAGTGGAAAGGTTGGTAAGTATCAAATAAACTTTAGAAAAAAAAGAGTACATGGACACTTTGCTTGAAGTGTAGCCATTTAACTTCTATGTTGAACCTCTAGTTCAATATATTTCCAGCCAAATCTTGTTAGCATCGTGTTCATTCACATTCACAAGTATTTTTTTTTATTGAGACATACTCCTCTTTACACACTAACCATGTTTTTCTCATATACCCAAAATTCACAAAGAATAAGTCACTTTAAAAGTAACATTGGACATAGCTTTCTATTTCCAAACGTAAATTTAACTTTTTGACATACACTTATGTTAAAATTACATTTTTGCCATTTTTTTTACATAACACTTTACTCAGCATATAGAAATATCAATGAGAATGTTAGCTAACTCTGGCGAATTAAAATAATCTGGCGTGTGCTAGAGCTACTGTGTTACTTAAATTTAAGTATTTTTAATTGCATTACAAATCTCGACGGAAATCAAAATATTGCTATTCATCATTAACCCTAGGCGAATAATAGGCGCCAAAAGCGGATTTTCGAGAAGCTGGGTAAGGCACATGGGTGAGAATTTTCGAGACCCATAGGTTTTAATAGATTTCTTTCTATCAATTTCTGACGGATGTCGGAGAAGTACCTTAGACTTACTATGGACAGTTGACAGTTTTCTTCGCTTTCCTGCCCCCAAACACATTCCAAAAACCTTATCTCTTGTCCTGCATGATCTATATAAAAAGTCTCCAATAATGTTCAAATATCAGGCCAGGACACGAACTGGAATGCACTTTCAGAGGAACTTGCATTGGATTAGTCGCCGTTTGACACTCCTGTGCAAATATCCAACAAATATGTGCTTAAGATCATTTTAAGCATAGTTTGCACCAAGTTGAGTGGGTTTTGTACGCTAGATACATACATAACTAGAACAGAAAGCCAATTTTAGACCTAGAAATGAAATGTTGAGCAATACGATAGGAGCCAAATCCGATGTTATGAAATTGGTATACTAAAGACCCCTTTCGTTCGAATTATTTATCGAAACTTTGAAGTGTATAATCTTTGGTGTATAATCATTCACAATAATTGAGGCGACAGCCATGAGCATTCATATCACCCCGGTGTTTTGTTTTCTTTATTGCATCAGGTGTCTATTTCCTTCGTAGAATACGTTCCGGACAATGCCACATCGCCCTACGCGTCCCTCAAAGTCCCACTTTTCAAACTAATAGTGAACAGAGTTTCCATACACCAGTACTCAGAACAATATACTTTTACATTTTCAGTTTAAAAAGACGCCGTAAACAAATTATATCAATGTATCTCGCGCATCCTGCTGGGAAGAAAACGTCAAAATTCCGCAACTGGGTTTTGTACAATGTTACATAAAAGACCGTCCATTAGTAATGAAAAACCTCATATCAAATGTTCACTTGTCTACCTTCTCCATAAACAAAATTCTAGTTAGGCCGCTGATTATCAAATTCGAGAAGGCACACAAACATTTGACGCGTACATCGTTCTGAAAAGGGGGCGGGTCTCGGCGAGGCGGGTACGTCTACGCTTATTTCCTTCGCGGCGATCGGGAAACATTATTTTCGTCTTCATTATCGTCACATCGACCTCGCCCTCCCCCCCTCCCTGCACTTCCGCCTCCGCCTAACGAGCAGGGCCCTCCACCTCCCCCACTCCAGCTGCGGAGCACCAGCCATCGTGCGACGACCAATTTGCCTTCATAACCACCTTAATTACACCTTAATAACGTATTAACGCGCCCGGATTTTACAAACCAATTAAAATCACGTGGTGGTGCCGCCTCCCCCGCTGCCGCTGCTGCACGAGAGAGCGAAAGTCGAGACAGGGCGAAGACGAAAGTCAACTCCCAGTCGCTCCTTCCCGACTGCCGGGTTTAAAGTTAAACTGCCCTCGTTGGGGTTAAAGCCATTTTCAAGATTGCCATTTTCCATTTAAATTGCGGATGTTGTTAAAAAATTGTAAAACTCATTCCAACAATAACATACGCCAAGCCCAATACGCATAAAATAATTTCCACCCTCGCGCAACTAATAATTCAGTTTCAGTTTAATAGAAGATAGCCAATAAATTTATAAAGCATGACAATTGCATTCTATTTAAATGCTAATTACCAAATGCATACATTCTGCTTTGTTAGTGACAATATTAATTGGGTTTATCCCTAAATATACTATTTAAAACACCAAAACAAGTGAATGCTTCAGAAATGATAGTCGAAATGCTCTTCAATTAGTAAACACGTTATTTTGCATCCCCACTTTGTATACACACACATGATGAAAATTAAATTTCAATGCTCCATTAAAAGGTATCATATTGTAACACAATCTGAACCGCATACAACAGATACTTTGTATTGTAACTCGCATGAATTTATCCCGTTCCAAATGGACGTTAAACCGAAAATGACTTGTAAACTCGTATTCAAGTACGAGTGAATAACTACAGACAATGAGGGGTTTGTATTGCTAGCGGTAGAATTTCTAAGAGACTATACTTGGGTTCACGCTTAAGAATAAAATTCGAAGATCTGAAAAGATTTAACCACGTCAACACCCAGCAATGCAGTCAAGAAGCACGTACGAGCAACACGACTTCGAAAAATAAGTAAGGGATTATTCTAATTTACGCTAATTTAATTATACGTTTCTCAAAAAATTCATAGCTATATTATACGTTTAAAGGTCGTACTCTACAATCAGTTGCACTACAGCTACTAACTGTTTCACTAACTACACTGTTATTCGCACAAATTTACCTTTAAAACTGCCAGTTCTGACAGTGAGGATGTCAAAGATCATGCCCTCTAGAGAGTTTGAGGTCCCCTTTGGAAAAGTACAAGGTTCTTCTACCCAGGGATGCAATAAATTCTTATTAAATGCCTCGCTTATGATTTTCACTCTTAGAAATAAGAAGCCAATGACAAGAAAACATTACTGAGAGCATTCTCACCGTGATGCGTGGGCGAATGTGATCTTCGTTTCATCAATTTTTCAATTCTTCCTTTCCCCTGATGTTTTCAATGCTCCCTTTAAGAAAAAAATTGTCAAACCGCACCCTGGTTCGATTACAGTTGGATGCTGGGTACCGAGATCGATTTGTGCGACCCATCTAACGTGCTGGAGCAATTTCAATAATTCCCAACAAGACTCCCTACTTATTTTCTAATCCTTCCCCTCCAGTACCTAATGGAGATGTTCCCTTCACCGAGTTGCCTGAATGACCACATTGCTGACCCTCAGAGCTCCCTCGCTATCGTCCCTCATAACCACGATGAACGATGTTCATTTCGACGCATTAGCCTCTCATGAAAACCAACTTAAAGAGCATTTTAGGGTAGAAACAGGAAAAGGTCCAACACTAATTCGAAAGAGGAAAATGGAAAAATCAAATTAATGGATTTCTTCACTTAATTAAAAGACAAATGATTCAGCTTTCAGAATGGCAAATTCACCGTAGTCCCTGTTGGTCACAAACAAGCTAAAATATTCAGATGTCTCATTAAATAAAAGAGAACTTTTTTTGCCTAACAAGCTATGCCCATTATCTGCCAGAGCATCTCTGTGGGAGACCACCAACAGGGGTCCAGTCACTGGGGAACAATCATTCATTTACTGCCTTCTCGTCCATAAAACATCCCCTTCCCCAGCGTCACCTCTCTGAATACTGCTGAGACCATCAGCGTCCACACTAGGACACACCACCACATACATTACTAATCATACTCCATTATTTACTCACCTGTGACAGAGCCTTGCCCACTCAATCTAACTTCCATACTCAGAAAACATACATGAACCCCTATCTGGATGCCATTCAAAGCAATTTAAAAAGCAACGTTCCCAGGAAATGAGGGGATTAATAACTAACACCATGTGGAGGCTCTAATTGAAAAGCTGGTCGTGTTCGGTGCACATGATGGCGTTACCATCTCATTTAATTTTCTTACTTTACTCATCCTATGATACAGTATATTTATCATCATTCAAATTATTGATCTACTACAGCCCAGGCAAAACTTGCCTTAGCCCAAAAAAATTCACGATACACTCCATGGTAAATTATAAGGAGAATGGGGACATAGGGTTGAATAAATAAGCCAATCCATTTCATCTACTTATAATATTCATTATTTTGTCAAACATTATACAGAGACAAAATGAAGTTCATCATATTCAATCAAAGAAATTGTAAATAGGATACAGATTAGAAGGCTATTTTCATTATGTGGCTGATAATGAAGATTGACTCAAGAAATTACACATCTTTTATAGCCTCTAATTAGTTTGAAAATGGACTTAAAAGGTAAGTGAGATAAAGATAAACCACACAATCTACATAAAGCCATATGTAAAATTATAAGAAATAAGACCAAGTTGGACATACTATTATCTATAAGTATACAATTCACATATACCACGTAAGATTACAAAGGGAAATCAAAATTTCTTGAAAGCAGCATGGTTATTCTTAAGCATTGCAAAAATGAACAGGAAAATGCAATGCACTAGTGCATGGAATAAGCAGAAAATTACATGATTGTGGTGTTGAAAAATCTTACAAACAAGAACGCTGAAATGAACTCAACCATGCTCAACCGTAGCTGCTCTGTGGCTGCCGATGGGAGCTGGCGGGATGGGTCACTTACTTGCTCCAAGTGCGCACTGGGCGCTTGTCGCCTGGCATCCCCCCTTGCACTCACGGTGCGCCCTCGGGGAGGCTGCAGGCTGCGGCTCATCACGTATCACCTGCTCCGTGCAGAGGAGCGGCAGCGGCCATTTCAGCCGTGGCTTTTGCTCGAAGTCTTCCACTTGGCATGGAACGCCTCTATGTGCTCAAGATTGACCCCTGCACAGAAGGCACACACACGCTGCATTTATATCACGCCTCACTGGATGACAACTTAATACCTTTGCTGCTATTGAATAAGAAAATTGCACGAAACAAATTATATTTAAGAATAATAAATCTACTTCCAGCGCGCGGATTTCAGGTGCTAAGTGAAGAGAGTTTTATTTATTTTTTTCTTTTCTTAAAGGAAATGTGATGAGATATGTTTAGAATATAGTCCAACCTTTGTCACTCGATTTATGAGCTGACCCAGAAATCGACACAAGTCTTAATGTTGCGTCACAATTAAAAACCTATTGTGGCAAATTATTACGAGCTTTTGGATTGAAGTGAAGGTGCTTTACTGGACCTAATGATACTTGCAATGGAAGTTGGAACCCTGGACCAAGACTAAAAGTACAGAGGCAGGATGGGAAAAATAAGTAGTACGCGATAAAGTAAAAACTATGAATTACACTCATGGACTTTTTAATCAGTGGAAATCGAATCGTTAACGAAAAACTATCGTGGAAATCCGCTGGCATATCACTGACAATCCCATCAAGACACAATTACTACCATGCACATCGTCGTTGGTGAAAAAAGTCCAGGCTTCGAAATATATGGTCCTACAGTCCAGAAACGTGACAATTAAATTTTCTCGTCCGTGAGTCTGAACTGAAAGGGCTGCGGTTCTATTTCCGAAGCTGAAGATGCCAAAACTAATCCCATTCTGGGCAATTCCGAAAAAGTACCTTAAAATGTTTCAACCAGCAGTAGACCGACTGAAAATGTAGCATCGACGGCAGTTGTTCCTCGGAAATTACTTGTGGCCTAGAGCATCATGGTTTACGTATCGCACAGGAATTTTTTTCTGTCCTACCTGCAGAGCGTGCCACTCCCAAAGGGCTGTAGGCACGGCTGGGGTCATCAAGGGGTGATTGCTGCCCCGTCAGGAGTGTCACCAAAGATGTCTCAGGAGTGAGCTCATGCACACCATTCTGCTGGCTGAAGTAGTAGCAGCATTCAACGATCTGGAAGAAAAACCTGCACAGAAAAGTATCAAATGTAAATGGACAAGTAGTTTATTTCAACATTTTCCTTTATATGTATCTCACAAAAAAACAACAATAAAAGTCAAACAAATGGAAACTATGCTTAATAAAGGATTTCATAAGCTTGATAATAATTTTTACTACACAAGTAACGATTTCACACAGAAGAACAGACCGGAAACAAATTCGGAGTATACATTTCAATAGGTAAAATTCCATGGCGTAGCAATACATTCCTACATTGTAAATATGAACCAGTACATAATGACTTCAATATAATGACAACACATGCAAAAAATTCAAGTATAGTATTCTATATAGGTACAGAAATACGTACACAATTACTAATCAACTATCTTGTTTACGACTAAATTGATATGATATAAAATGCATTGCCATGCATTAAAATGATATACGAAACATGTGGAATAATTTGGCATAAAATGCCCTGCAAATTATATGCTGGATGATTTTAAGGATGATCCATGTTTACAACGGAGCCTCGCCCACGTCTTGAAAATGCTAATGCGAAGAGAATCGAATTGCTAGTATAAATTTGGCGATGTTTTTGTAAGCTAACTACTAATTTTTAACAGTATATGCTCTCATTATTGGTCACGCGGGGTGAATTTAATTTCATAGTCGCCTTAGGTACAAAATAGAAATAATAATAAAAATAATGGTAATAATGATGATTAATATTATTATTATTAAAATAAACAAAACTGAACATAAGTGCTGAGGGGCACCTCAGGAGGTTAGAACCTCCTTCCGTCGCAGAAACGTACGGAAAGTAGGTGGGAAACCCTATACCTACGCGCTACGGGCTTTGTGAGGCATATGATGGCACAGGAGTTATTATTGGGCGGGAGATGGTATGATCCAAGAAGTTAATAGTATTACAAGCAGCTTTCGCTTCCTTGGAACTGAGAGTAGCACCTTCAGTTATTTCACATTTGATGTGATTATTGGGACTTTTCCATTCAAACGTAAAACCATCCAGCATTAACATGTACGTGACAAGAACATGGGATGTAATGACGCACCAGGCCTCGCGGTCCTTCTTCTTGGGGTACTTGATGAGCGGCAGCGGCAGGCGCTCGTGCTGGCGCTGCGCGCGCAGGAAGCGGTTGCCGCGCTGGAACTGCGCCTCCAGCCAGCGGATGGCCTCGCGCGCGCGCCCCACCTCGCGCTTCAGCTCGTCCAGCGCGCACACCACTGCAACACACGCAAGCACACACACCGCTGCCACACTCGCCACACGCACACGGGCATTGCCACGCCGAAAGGGGGCGGGGACAATGCGCAATGTACAAAAATTCCAAGGCAACGTGAACTGCAAAACAAACTTCGTTGCATCTCCGAGTCACGTTCTCGGTCGAAGTGCTACAGTACAACACTCATACAAGAAAGAGCGCTACGATACCATAGTGCAATAAGGCAAGAACGCCTCTTGAACAGTGTTTCTTCAGCTCTAACAATCAACTACACACATGCTGAACTCTCCTGTAATATGTTAAATTACATAATATGTACTGTTCCCGAAAAACACTGACACAATTCCGAAATTTGCAATGTTACAAGAGAGCCAAAAAAATTATTTTACATTATAGACCCAATAGCAATTAAAATTAAATATGTTGGGCTTTGGCCAAGTTGGGCTTTGGACAATAAACTACAATTAGGCAATGTTCCCTCCTGTGCAGTTGATGCTTTTTGTTCTATTCGTCCAATATTCAATTTTGCGAATGTTTTGTAGTTGAATAAATGTTCTGGAAACGCGAGATGTAATTATGAACAAGTGTACAATTATCGATCATACTTGCTTTCTAAACGTCTACCAGAATAATATACGTCTCGAGAGAACTCTCCTTTAATTGGCGAAAATGTTAGGGACGGGAGCTTCATTGTTAGGTGGGCAACAACGCCTAAGTGGGATTGGACGAGAAGAAGTCTGGTGATCATTCACCCTAGCGCCTTCAAGGCAAGAGAAATGGAATCAGGAGACATCTTGTCATTAAATGGTACTCCAGGGCCAGCAGCAACAGCCTTCTGTATTGACAATCGATTCTTTCCTGAAGCAAAGCGACTTACTGAACCAAGGAACACCGTGGTATGCGTAAACCTCGTTCAAAAAATGTATGCAATGATGGATAATAGATAATAGATAATAGAAACGGAGTACTTGTATGTGGCCAGAGACACTGCTTTATCACAGAATACAGCACAACACTATTAAATAACTAGTGCAAAATGCGATCGTATCCAACTATTCCTTTATACATTGAACGTCTACGAGAGCCTACGTGCATTTAGCGATGATTTTAAAACATTAAAGTAGCCCAGAAAAATTGGATGTATTAGGTGAATGTACATGGTAAATCACCAACTCCATATCTACTACTTTTCCAGAGCTCCAAATGACACATTTTTCAGAAAAGTTAGCTCGTAGAAAATCTTGCCCGAGCAAATCAAGAAGCAAACATAATCACGACCATCAGGCGGAAAGTAGTTGGATGAGTCAGGAAAGAAAGGGTTATGACGCATCGCGGCTCCGGACGGCTCTCCCGATCGAGGGAAGAACTCGCCTCGTTCCCCTCCCAATATTGGACGGACGGTTGCACAAACAGCCCCGGGCGTCGTCTGAACGCCTGCCAAACGATTTACGCTAGGGGTCGACAATTTCTTTCCGGCTAAATCTTGAGACTCGTTAGCGAGCCAGCAACGCCTTTTATCAAAATAATTAAATGAAAAAAATAGTCCAACAAATTTTACAGCGATCCTTCTTTCTTCTTTTCACTTTCCAACACTCACCTTTTCCCCCTACCTAAAGCTGGTTTCGAAAGGCCCACTGGATTGTTTTATCTGTGTTCCTTACATGACCTTTCAACGAGAAGAATATTTTGGGAGTCAACAAGACAAAACTCATTACCATTCTGTTGTGAGCCACATGTCAATCCGCTTTATACATTATCAAAAAGCGTGGTCAATAACATGAGAGAGCCACACGCAGCACCGTGGCTGGCAATGCCGACCACTGCGCCACCCCTAGCCGTTGGGCGCCGGCGGGCGCCGGCCGAGGCAAACTGCGCTGGGAAGGGACGGGAGAAGGGCCAGAGGAAGGGGCGCGCGCGCGGGGGTGGCGACCGCCGGATGTGATGAGAGAAGGGTCTGCGGGATTGTCCGGGATGTATTAGGAAATGAAATGGAGGGGAAACGCCCCGAGAGGACAGCTGCGGAGGCGGAGAGAGGGAGGGAGGGACGAAAGAGCGGCGGGAAAAGACGCGCGCTCCCAGCTCTCTCCCGCCCCCGCCCCCGGCCTTTCTCGCCTGCCAGCCGCTCGATGCAGAAAATACGAGACGAGTTTGGAGGGGCGTGTCCGGGGCCGGGGGGAGCGCGCGGGAAGCCCCGCGTGACGATGACGAACGCAGCGGTGTCAAGGGTCTGGACGTGAGGTACGGCGGCCTGGCCGCGGAGCGGGGAAGGGGAGGAACCCACACGTGGCGGTGGCGGCGCCGGCGGCTGCCAACCCGGCGAGGCGCGAGATTGAGGGAAGCCGAAGTATCCAAGGTAGTGCGAATAAAAGATTCGTGAAGATAAATGTTGATCGTGCGGGGCTTGCCAATACCACGACGAAGACGTATGTGCATGAATTTAACAATCAACATTCAATGAAACGTCTTGTGACTGAGTTCCTAACGCTTGCAAAATGAGGAGAGAGAAGTGGCAATAATGTAATGTAAATCCATAATGGAAGAATGCGTGTACCTTTCAGTATCCATTAACCGTAAATGGCTTAATATGTTTGACTTATATCTTAAACTTCACCTTAAAACTACACATCAACCAGTTTGTACACAATCCACATTCAAATACCGTATAACGAATTTCCATTCGCTAAACGAAGGAAACATATCAACAATTTTACTATTCAAATTATGCGCAGAGAGCCAAATCGTACTAAATATAACAGTCCTTTCAATACACATTTTAAAAAAGAAAGGAGGTAACCGAAAATGTTGATAACATTCAAAATTATTCCAAAAGACGTTTACTAAACCGCACTTTATAGAATTGTAGTATTTTATTATCAACTTTTGTTTTACGCAATTAATGCTTGTATTAGTGTGCTGATTTACTGTGCATGTCTACGCATGGAAACGATTTAACTGTAAAAAGAAGCAGTTTGAAAGCACAAATTCTAATTTGGGAACATCAGAAATCTCGAATAGCATGGAAAACTTGGCTCTTTTGAAGCGAATGGTACTATAAAACAGACACCTAATGCCATGCAATTGGCACCTAGCGCGTAACGCAACAATCCCTGCAGGAAGAGCTGCCATCGCCCTGAAGGCGCAGCGATTCCACGTTGGACAACGGAGGGAAAGATGGCCGGCGGCGGCCGACGGTGGTGAAGGTGTAAATCAAAACGTATGGGCTTGCGCAGAGGAAATATTCATCTACGAGAAGGCTGTAACGTCTTTAGTCGACATCCGTGCTTTCGAGGTGCTAGCAGCCACCAGGAATGCAGGCAACCGAAGGGGAGCCTAGGGCGGCGCAGACAATAGCCAGCTGAAAGGGGGTAAAGTGACCCCCCCCCAAGACGCAAGGGCGTGCAAATGTGTGGGGTCCAGCGGCCGCCCTCGCGATCGCATGACCGCCAAAAATATTCATGCAGCAGAGCCCAGACAGGGGTATTTCGATTTCTGCCCGCCTCGGCAGAGATGCATTCGTCGAGGCACTAAGAGTGTGTGGGCACTTGGTTTCCGGGTACCGGCGCGGTGCAGCGTTGGGATGGAGGATTTGCACTAGACAGGGAATGGGGAGCAGTGTGGGTAGGAGGAATGGAGGTAGAATAGAGGAGATCAACCCAGAGCTGTACGGAGTAGTACTACAGTGTAAATAAATTCATTGTACATAGAGCTCGTGTCTCTGTCATTTCGCTACCACGACGGCACATTTGTGCATTAGTATGAAACGATGTAATTATGGGTGTTAATACACGTGGGTAATATTACGATACAGGCAAGTAACGTAAACTTCACACGAGTTTATAAATGCCCATTACATCGAGTTTCATACAGTACTTTTTCTACGATGAATGGTAACTTTTATAAGTTAAGCTTTTACATTGAATTGTTTTGTGGCAGTTGACATGGAGGGCCACCAGCCAAGGCCACCTACTGGACCTCTCCCTATCCTATCCTGCCGCAGGTGGCTTCGGCCTACTAGTGAAATAGAAACAAAGTGAAATTATGATTCAAATTATCTTAAATATTCCACGTAAAAAATCACTACTAATAAAAGAAATTAAAACTTTCAAGCCTAATGTAATATTAAATGCGATTTTAATGTGCACAATCAAACGAAACATTTACAACACCTATTCTGAATAATTAATAGTCGATACTACTACTTTTCTCTCATTGGTCTTGCGGTTGTTTCTGTGAAGACTTGCAACTTTTCAGTGATTGGTCAAAAACCTTGCGGTGGCCGGTGGAAGCGACACCAGAGGGGTCGGGTCGGCGCGACACAGTGTCACTTTATGTCGATAAATATTCACAATTAATAGGGTTAATAATGATATACAAGCTGCTTGCATCCGCTTTATGTTAAACGTTTCTCCTTAAGGGTATTCAGACGTTTAGGTAAGGGCACTTTAGCGCCTACGCTTGCTTCTGGAAAAACTAGTATCTAATGTGGCAAATCATCCCACATCTATTTCGTCATGAGTATTATTATGCAAAGGGTTGCAGCCATCAAATGTCGGAATTGCCCAAAGGGAGTAGCCAAAGGCGCGCCGCGAGCTCCGCGCCCCACTCACCGACGCCCGGGATGAGCACGATGAAGCGGCGCGCGGCCACCAGCTGCTTGACGAGCGGCATGTGGGCGGTGAGCGCGTCGCAGTCCACCGCCAGGTAGGGCGAGAGCGTGGCGCCGCCGCGCCGCCGCTGCTGCTGCACGCGTGTCTCCAGCTCTGCGCAAACCTGGCGGCGCAGCCACAGCTGGCCCATGTGCTGCAATGAGGTCGTCGCGGCGCCCGCCGCCGGCGCGGGGGCGGGGCGGCGCCGGGGTCCGGGTCCGCTGCCGCGGGCGATCGTGCTGAAGCGGGACCGTTTCCGCCACCGCCCGCGGGGCACGGGCGAGACGCCGGTCGCGTGGCGCCTGCGGGCGTGGGCGTGCTGTGGCAGCCGGGAGGTCCCGACGCGCTGTTCCGCCCGCTGCCGCCGCGGCTCCCGTTGCGGCCACCGCCGACGCTCGACGTGCCCTGCAACACAAAAGCAAGACGTTTGCAATTAGGAGGGATCCTACGTACAATGGAAAATATAATTAGAAGACAGACATAGGTTTTAAATTAAGTCTAGTTCGTAACGACGTGAGTAGTGCATTCAAGTGTAATAAATTGGGAAAATATTTTCAGCTAGCCGTTTCAACTTACATTTATTTTTTCCAAAAACTGTATGAATTGAAAACAGCGTTAAAACAAATTGCATATCTGATTGTTCTCTCCAATCGTCTACTCTTGGGGGAAACCTCACCGGTGCGACCGCAGCGCACCCCACACACGCTTGCGGTCACCGGTGGAAACGCGAGCTGAGAGGGGTCGGGGCGGCACGGCAGTGTCCCAACTTCACTTTATGTCGATAAATATTCACAATTAATAGGGTTAATAATGATCTACAAGCTGCTTTCATCCTCTTTATGTTAAACGTTTCTCCTTAAGCGTATTTAGACGCACTTTAGGCGCCTACGCTTGCTTCGGGAAAAACTAATATCTAATGTGGCAATTACAAAGAGCTCCTTTCTGTCACACCATTGTCCAACCAAAAGATCAAGAATTCAAGAAAGAAGCATTCACTATTCCCGACACATGCTAGTAAATACGTCATCGAATCACTCATTAAGCCTGGCCCGACACGAGAACATACATTTATTCACTTTCACAGTAATGCAGAACACAAGCTCTGAATGAACTTTCAGAATGCATATGTCTAGGGCTAAATATCAATTTTCACTACGCTTCTAACGACTGGATAGGAACAAAGTGAAGGAATTTTAAAATAATTTTACCTCTGATTCCTAAAAATCCGTCGATCAGGAAGCAGGTAGTAAAAATTTCCGACAACCAAGTAATAGATTTAATAGAGAAGAAAAATTGTATTTTAAGTCATCGCTGACAATCTAATTTGGACTAAAAACAATACCAGTATTTAAGCTGTTAGCTGTACGCTGAGATATCTCCCATGTTAGCATTACACATTCCGGTTGGACATAACGAAGAGGGTGGATAAATTCGTTTACAGAAAAGTATTATAATCTTCCCCGCATCATTTTCTCATATTTACTGACGACTTCTTGCTTTATCTTCTTCCTCGAGCCCAGAGCCAGAGAGCCCATTGCGCTGGCGGTGGCGGCGGCGGCGCTGGCGGCGCGCGAGAGCGAGGGCGAGGGCGAGGGCGAGGGCGAGGGCGAGGGCGAGGGCGAGGGCGAGGGCGAGGCGAGGGCGAGAAGCGAGGCGAGGGCGAGGGCGAAGAGGAGGGCGAGAGCGAGGGCGAGAGCGAGGGCGAGAGCGCGGGCGAGGCGCGGGGCGAGAGCGAGGGCGAGGGCGAGGGCGAGAGCGAGGACGAGAGCGAGAGCGAGGGCGAGAGCGAGGGTGAGAGCGAGGGTGAGAGCGAGGGTGAGAGCGAGGGCGAAGGCAGTGGGGGTGCTTGAGGGGACGAGCGGGAGGGGGCGAAGACGTCCGTCGGGGGGTCTTGGGTCGCAGAGGGGAAGGGCTGGCTGGCTGGCTCAAGGGTTAAATATAGACCGCTCTGTCACGGCACGGCCATTAGGAGCGGGCACGGAGATAAGATGTTCGGCGGGGGCGGGGTTCCATCGGTGTGTTTATGCCTGCGGTTCACGCAGCGCTGCGCCGAGGGCGGATTTATGTGCCGCCGGCGCGGCGCGGCGCCCCCCGCGGCGCTCAACGGCCACACGTGGGCGACCACGCGAGGGATCCCCGCGCGCGCACGCCACGCTCGCCAGCGAACCCGCAAGCCCGGTGCTGGGGGAAAGCGAAAACGGGGCGAGAACTTCCACAGAGGTCGACCCCAGTGGGTCGAAAGTTAGCACACTGGCTTCCTAAACGCAGGTTCGCAGTTTCAAACCCTGGAGACGGATTTTCAAGACCAGAAAAACCTCAGCGTGACAGGTCTCGTTTGTACCAAGTAACAGAACCCAAGCTAAAAAAGCCCGGCAAAATAAAATCCTCCGACAATTCCTAATATTATCAGGTTGCATTGGTTTCGGCCACGGAATGTTAAAAGTATTGGACCAATCTGACGGAGACGCCCGTGTCGTTACTCTGGTGGTGAACATAGAGACACATAAACAATTGTAGCAAAGACGACGAAATAGGCACCCAATTCATAAATGCTGGGTCCAAAGAGGGAGAAGGTAGTGGACATGAACCTAAACCCCGGATAACTAGGATTCCCAGAGTTGTTGCCAAATCGCATGTCGTCCCCTAACAGTTCGAGTACCAGCCAAACACCAGTGCACGATGCGTTGCTTACCATTCAGCAATGCATTCTCAAAATCGCAATTGGGTAACTTCATGATATGATTTGATATGATTAAATCAAGATATCCTTTCCCATCTCCGGTACACTGTCAAAAAATTACCTTTAACTCCCCTCCACACCCTAGAAGTGTCTGAAAATTATTTGGTATTTCCCTTATCCAGCGGTGTATATATGCCTATTTCTAATAGTACATGATTTGGGACAACTGTATTTCAGAAGCAGCCATTTTATTAACCTTGATAATTAGTAAATTCCTGGTATATGGGTTTTCAATTTGGAAAAAATAATTGACAAAACGTAAACAGACGATTGAAAGAAATGCAACACAGAGCAATGTCTACTGTGAAGCCCGTTCTTATATGGTCATTTATTTCATCATTTTTCGTCGTTACAGAACAGTGACGTACTAGACTGAACGCAATTTGTACGAAAAAATGACACATATCGATAATGTAACAAACCATGTACTGTATTCAAAGTCCGTGCTCAGTCCTAATATGACCCGACTTAATTTGTCACCATAGTCGGTATGTTCATCTGTTTGACCTTCAGTGCTTTTTGCTGCGCGCGTGCAGAGAAAAGATTTTCATCACAATTGCGTGCAGAAAACTAAATGACAGTGTAAAACGCTCGTTCTGGATCATCCAGTTTCGATACCGAAACAGTAGCGCGTAAAAATTAACGTCCCTTTTCCATCCATTTTCAGTACACAAAAATGATGAAAAAATGACCGACTAAAACGCGCCACAGAAGCCAAAAACCCGCAACGGAAGGGAATGGAATCGGAAGGGAATCGCTCTGGGCCCATCACTGCACTTGATATCCCCGCCGGGCGGTGCCGGGAAGGCAGCGCGGCGAGTCGAATCGCGAGCTTTTGACCTTTCCGGCGAATTAGAGCGGGCCGCGCGCGATACGCGACCGCAGCCGTTGTCTCAAACGCGCAAATTAAGCGGCGCGAGCACGCACGCATGCACGCGTACACGTGCGCGCGCGGGCGTGAGTTTTCGATAATTATCGGGTCGCGATGCTCGATAAAGCGTCGCCATATGGCGATGCGTCGATACGGAGGTATTGATGTGTTAATGTAGCGTCAGTGGGGCGTGCCTGGCGCGTCGGAGCCCATCCCCGACGGGGGCAAGCGGACACCCCCCCGTCCACTACGTGCCCACCGCTTGTTCCGTCCCCCAGCCACCGTCACCACAGTCATCACCACCCGCCCCCGGCGCAATTGCCTCCACCGCAGAGCCCTCTACTCGTCGCCACCAGTGCTTCCTTTCCAACACTCCCGTCTCCCGCCATCTGCATTGCCGGCACCACTCTGACCACGACAACTTGCAAGTTCTATCATAACTACAACGCTATATTCTCCAGTGCCACCCACTGTGATCAGCTGCCACTCGTTTTTATTACTCTCTCGTATTGCCATTGCATATTTCCATCCGCGCTCACAGTTTACCGCTCCAACCACCCACATCTTCTCCATTCGCACGCTGTTTGGCGAAAGTCGCGCCGCAGCGCCGCTCCCCTTGATCCATTACTCGCCTCGGTCGCGCCGCCTGCCCTTCTCCATCCCTCCGTCGCCTGCCCGCTGTAGCTCTGTGATTTAGGCGCTCGCGCGCGCCGTACGCGCGAAGCGACGCCGAGAACGGCGGCAATTTCGCTGCGGTCGCCGCGCGTCCGCTCCGGGGCACAAATGCCGCCGCCCACCCCCCCGCCTTCCGCCGCCCTTCGCGCGCGCCGCAGCGCGGCAGGACTGTAAACCGAGACTCGGCAGACGGCGGGTGGGACGAACCGCGCTCGAGAGCCGCTTCCGAGAGAAGATGAGAAAGCGGGGCACGGGTGAGAGGAGCGGGCGGAGGGACGCCGTCGAATCGAGAGAGAGAGAGAGAGAGAGAGAGAGAGAGAGGGGGGGGGGAGGGGGGGCGACCAGGGCGCCCTGCAAAATGCATGCAAACCAGGCGGACGGAACAGACAGACCGAAGGAGGAAGAAGTTTTATCCACTTTCTTTTCAATTGCCGGGGCGGGGCTGTTCCGTCTTCGCTTTATTGTCCGACCCTACTTCATCCGCCCCCTCTTCGCCGCCCTCATGGGCCATTTCGCGCTCCGCGAGGGCACGGAGGAGGGGGGGGGGCTCCGCAGCGCGCCAACGAACGGAACCTTCCGCGCGCGAGGTGGGCGAAGAGAGCTCTTCCTCCTTCCCTTCAACTCCAACGCAGCGGATGGAAGATAGCCAGAACGGCACGGGAGGGCGCGACGCAACCATGCTCGCACGCACGCACACGCAAGGCAAAGAAGAAAAAGTACAAAGGAAGTAGAGGGGCGAGCCAAAAATGGGCGAAGACCTCAAAACAGCGTCGAGGCGACTCCGCGAGAGAGGTCGTCTCTATTCATAAAGGGTCGGGCCGGCCACTGCGAGGATGTTGGCAGCGAGGAATAAAATCTAGCGTGTTCATCCTTCTTGGCCGAGCAACCGCACATTTCCGTTCATTATGGATGTGTTCTTGGCGTTTATGTACAGGCTGGGCGGCGACGAGTGGCGTGGGCGTGCCAGCGGCAGTACGGGAGGTGGGGGCTTGGCCGGGGGGGCGTCCGCGTGCGCTGGGCGCTGGGGGCGGTCGCCGCGGCTGCCGGTCTTCTCGCCCTCGGGGAACGGGTGGGTCAGAGCCAGCGCCGGAGGCTGGAACGCGCCCGTATGACAGACACAGTCAATTTGGCAGCGCCGAGGAACTTGCGGAACGCCAGTTTTCCATTATGCCCCTCGGCCCGTCCGTGTCGCCGGCTCGCGAACACGCCGCTCCCACTCGCTTTTGCTTCTTTTTTATTTGGGGACTGCGAGGAGTTTTGCCAGCTTTTCGACAAAAAGCAGCCTGTAACACTAGATTCCATATCTTCCATGTTCGGCACTTTTCGTACTTTGGCTGTCGATTTGGAACTTCTTTCTTATACACCCAAACGTTACGTCAGAAATAGATGTCCATAGTTCGCTTTGATCTATTGCTCGGTGTGAAGCTATAAAATTTCAACTCGGATAAATTTTGATGTGCCCTCCAAATATTTTCCTCTGTATACTCCGTTCTGTACCATCTTTGGTTAAGTTTCCATGGCTTAACACGTTTATTTTATTTGTAAAAACACTTCGCTAGAATGTTTCAGTATTCCGCAACGCTGAAGTTACCTATGCGTAAGGGAAACAAACGCAAACAAAATTCCACTCGACTTTGTAGTTTTTCCTCTTATTACATAGCACATCACTACCAATTGCTTGTTTTCGAAAACAATTTTAAAAGACAGATGACATCCCGCTTAAAAGCAATCTCAAGTCAGGCAAGTTCGCACATAGCAAGTTAAGCAAGTTCCCAAGGTCTCGCATTGAACACTTAGTCTCTAATCTGCAAATATTTTCTAATTTTTAAATTTACTCATATATTATCAAACCAGTTTCTGGATGTGCTAATGAAGGCGCAAGTATCACGCTCCGAACTACAGAAAGGCACATGAGGCCACGTCTCGCAAAAACGTGTAGCGTTTGTCGAGGGGCTTTGCCAAGAGTTGAAAGGAGCGGGCACCAAGGCGAGATAAGGCGAATGACAGAGCCAGTCTCCGTAAAAAGGCGCGAAGCCACCCCCGTTACCCCCGGCGGTCGATGCCGCACTGCCGCCCTCAGCCCACAGTGCTGGCGAGGGTCAACGACCTCCCCAGCTACGATACGCACGTTGACGTTCGTATTCTGTAATGCCTACTCGAAGTTTTATGTTCGATTCTTCATTTTATTTCAATTTGGAATCCGTACCAACCAGGGCAATTTGGAGATGTTCGTGTAAAACGTAATTGGAAGTGGTTGTCGAGACGGTTCCCATGCGCAATTAACAATTGGTTAAAGCTTACAAAGTACAGTGGAATATCAGAAAGAAAAAAATCATTCTAAGAGTTGCATAACACAATGATGGTGCCAAAGTGCATAACGCGTAAGTCAAACCGATTTGATCGGTAGTCTAATAATATACTATAGAACTCGGTGCCAGCTATTCTGTACAATTAATAATTCGGACCACAAGAATCAGGATAATACATTGAGAGTACAAGTGAATACCGAATTGAATTGAATTGAATACTGAATGTCTGTTGCCACATTGTCAAAACGAGTCCTGAAAAAAAATAGATTATCGAAATCAAAATACTGTAAGGAGACACTCAGCTTCAAAATGAATAACGGTCCAAGAATTTTAATATACACTAAACTTATACATAAATTGAAAGATGTGAAAATTTGTGCGCTCGATATCGAGTATTGTTAATACACCCACGCAGGACAGCCGAGAAAAAAGAAGCGCTTTTGAAAGTAATAATTGGACACAGCAATTTCCAAAAATTGCCTAAACGTATTTCAACGTATATACAACGTAATTGTTCTAATAGTGTAAATTTAAAGAAATGCTCAAGTATGAACGCACGCCCAAACCGGACAAGGGCGCAGCAGCGCGACAGACCGTGACGCGCCACCGCGTTAGAAGCGCGAGAGCGAGTGAACGGGGCGTGCTCGGCCGCGGCCGCAGGCGCTGCCACGAAACAGCGCCGCCAGCTGCTCCTAACGGGGAGGCGGGTGGAACCGCCCACGCGACGATAGCTGCAAGCAGACCGCGCGGGCTATGGCTCTCGTCCGCACGCAGGGAGGGGGGGCGCAAAGGCATTCTCAACGGGTTGGAGTGGCAACGGTGAAGCCAGTCGAGTGGAATGGAGTGGAATGGAGTGGAGTGGAGTGGAGTGGCGAGGGGGTGGAAGGGAAAGAAGGCGAGACCGCTGGGGGGCGGCGGTCAGAGGCCATCGGGTGGGCGCGATACAGCGAACGGGGGCAGTCGTGCGGGGGAAACGGGGCGCAGCAGCGGCGCAGCATGTGCGCCCCGGCGCCGCGGGTCACGCGCGCCCAGCGCCGGCGCTGGCGCCCGCGGGGCAGCCGCGGAGCTTTACCGACCGGATAACAAGCCATTAGGAGAGTCGCGGCGCGGCACGTCCTCCTCCACCCCCATCCTCCCTTCCCCTCCGCTCCGCTCCGCTCCGAAACGCCCCAACCCCACCTACACCGCCAGCGGCAGCGGCCTCGCCGCCCGTGATGGAGGGATTATATTGCATGCAAGTATTAAACCATAATAATAACCGGCGTCGAAAATATACCAACAATTTCCATCTCATTTCCATGTAAATGAGATCGCCATTTTCTGTCTGCCCGCGCTCGCGCGCGGCGCGCATCCCCAGCGCGCGGCCGCGTCTCCCGAGAGGCGGAGCGGGGCGGGGAGGAAGGACGCGGGGACGGGAGGGGCGAGCGGGGAGATCACAGTCCTGCGGGGACGAGAGGCGCAGGGCGAAATGGGAGCGAGAGCGCTGCCAAGAGCAGAGGAAGCGACAAGAGGGTGGAGGTGGAGGTAGAGGAGGGGGGGGGGCCGAGTTTTATACGGCGAACTCGGTTTATGAGTCGCGGGGCGGCTCGCGCGGGGCGTACAAATTGGCAAGACGAGGCTCCGGGCGGCGGGCAGGCGGGACGGAGGGTTGAGATGGGAGTAGAGCGGGATGGCGGCGGAAGCGGGGCGGAGAGGCAGCGTACGGCGACGAGGTGAAACGCGCAGCCGACGGCGGCGGCGCTCTCTGCCATTCTACACACAACGAGGCCCCGACTGGAGTGAGACAGAACGGGGAAGGGGAGACAGAGGAGGAAACTACCGCAAGTAGCGCGGAAAAAGAGTTTCGGAAACACGCGCGCCGTAACCCAGTTCGAGTCGACGCGATGCAATCCGCCGTGTTCGCGAGGCAGCAGCGGCGCAGTCGGAGAGGCGGGCCGCCCGGAGCGGGGGTGAGGAGACGGGCGTCGAGTGAGGCACGTATCGCCAGTGAAGGCACCGCAGAGATGCGGTGGCGAAGGGATCGGTGAAGGTCCGGGCTGGAACGAAGGTAACGCACAGGCAGAGAGAGAATGGCGGAAGGAAAGTCTAGCTACAGAGATAAATGCAGAGGCAACGATAAGAGAAACACTGCCAGCAACACAATAACGGCACAACAGTGAGGACAGGTGGGAGGAGACCAGTCCCACCAGCGGACGCAGAGGCGGTGGCGGAGGTAGAAAGCGGGAGTCCAAAAGGCGAGGGTGGGGCGGGGCGGGGCGGGCAGCGAGCGGCAGCCAAGCGCAAGGACGCGTAGCGGAGCTAACAGGGTGTTCCCGAGAGCGCGACGCGGGATGTAAGTAGATTTTCATCACGCCGGAAAGCAAAGGGGCCAGCGCGCCGCCCAAAGAGGGCGCGGCGGGGAGGGACGAGGGAAGGGAGGGGGCGGCTTGCCGCAGGAAACGGCCGTGCCGCGAGATTTCATCAACGAACCATAGCAAACAAAGGAGCCGCGAGCCTTTTATGCGTCGTCGACATCACAAGCACCGGGCTTAAAAAAGGCACCAACACCGAAACACAAACACGCTGATAAGTACATAAATATCATTCGATCGTAGCGCAATTTAAAAGCAAAGAAATTATCTTCACACAGGAATGTTAAAGAGGAACAATCTGAAAATGATAGTTTTAGAATAAACAACCCACATACAAAAACACAAACGCTTCTATACAAGGCGTGATCACCGAGATTTCAGTTTATGTTTTTAAAAGTGTGTAGATCATAAAAGA